CCCATGAATATAAATTAGAATATAAGAGGCAATTCACTCTGAACATGCCTTACTAAACTTGTGTAACTTCTGCTGTACGAGCTTGGCTTTGGAACAACATTAGATTATCAGTTAGAAAGTATTAACCTTCGAAATAATTTTATCTGGAATGTTGTTCATTTTTTTTAAATATTCTGGGAATTAAGTTAATTATGTAAACCCTTTCGTACTGTTCGGGTATTAAAACACTTATGTTTTGCCAGCAGATTTGTTACCGCTTCTGATTAGTGGATGAAAGGATATTCCGATTCATACTTTAAAATACCTAAGCGACCAATCTGATTTGGAATGAATAATGAAAGAATGGAAAGATGCCCTTGAGTTCCAGAGCAAGCCCGGGTGTCACCACTCATCAAAGATTACACCAAGGTTTAGGAAAGGAATCGAGCTTCTTTCCACACAATGGAGATTGCCATGTCTACATCCTTTGGCCCTGTTCATCAATGGTAGTTGTTTCGCCGCAACTTAAACACATTTTATTTTGTTAATATTGATGCTTGCGGTAAGAACGTAGGAGGTTAATGTGGTCGAGTGAGAAGAGGTGAATGTGTTTGGGAAATGGTATCGGAATTTATACTGAAAAAAGGATGGTACCAAGTGTGCTGCCTTACACAACAACGGCTTCATCATGGTGGACAGAAGATAAGAATGTCCCAGTTAATATTTACATTTTAGGATAACGTCATGGACGGATGCCCTTGCGTATGCAGAGCATGCCTGGGTCCCACTCTCGATCTAAGTTTTGTCTAAAGGTGGCCATTCACGATCACTCCAAATGGAACCGCGCCAAGTCGTACAGCTCCATTTGGAGTGCCTGAAATTTGAGGGGGCATTCACGACCGCTCCACAGCCAGTCGCTTCGAACGTCAACCAGTGAAGTACCTTCTCAAAATGGATGATGTGCTACTCTTCTGTTTATTTATATATTAAAAGCAAAAAATCGAAGAAGAAATGGTGTAAGTGGCCCCTGAACAGAAGCCATAATACCCACATCAATTTGATGAATGATCTTTCCCTTGAACCCGCTGATTAGAGGAACTATTTAAGGATGGATGAAACTCAGTCTTATTTTTTCATTATATTTAGTGTTCTATTGACCAAATTTCTTCTTTCAATTACTTAATCTTTTTTGTAAGGTTTTGGTTCAAATGAAAAAGCTAGTGTCACGAGCGGGTCTGAATCCATGGCCTTCGGATAAATACGCCGCTGCTCTACCACTTGAGCTATCGTGACTTTGATCCTCTCCGACACCAAAAATTGGCAAAAAGAGAGAAAATTTGAAAGGTTGTAGGTTGAGATGGCGAGTTGGTGTCCGAGTGGATCGAACTATCGAAGTCACGATAGCTCAAGTGGTTAGGGCAGCGGCGTATTTAGCCGAATGTCGTGGATTCGAATCCCCTCGTGACACTATTTTTTTCATATCAACCTTACCAAAAAAAAATTAACTGGTTGAGGACCGAATTTCTTTTATTTCTATCGTGGTAACCATTGTCCACCACTTCCATAAACATGGTAAACTTTCATACAATTCAATCACCTCAACAATAAAATCTCGATTGGATGTCAATACCAATAAAGAATAAACGTTTTTGACTTTTTAAGAATGTACGACGGAGATGTTTGCTCGGTGACAGAAAGACGGAGACTGCGCCAAAAAAACGCGGATTTTCCCATTCACGACCAAGCCAGCGCTCCAATATTCCACCGTTCACGCCAGGTTTTCCCATTCACGAACGCGCCATGCCGTCGTCGTGCCGTAGATATTTGGACTGGCGCGATGGAGTTTGGACCGGTCGAATATTCGGCACAGGCGGGCACGCCAGTTCAGTTTTGCCATTGACGTGGTTTTTGGAACGGCGTCGCTCCGTTTGGACTGCTAGGAGCGATCGTGAATGGCCACCTTTAGGTCTAGAAAAACACCCGATGCTGAGGTTTTTGAGGCTTGAGATGGGCTTTATGATTGTTATAGTCTACTTCCTGGGGTGGAAAGTAGATAGCTCCAAGGGCTATTTGATGGATAAGGTCAAACCATGGGTGTGACCTTTAATGGAATGATGGGTTTAGGGGGAGGAGAGAGTCGTAAAGGGCTATGTCGTGTCTGGGAAGGGTCTGGGATGTGGAATAGGTGGGATGAAAATTAGCGTTAAAGAATTGCCAAAATTGCGTCCTGATGACGAAGAGGAGTAATGGATTTTTTAAGAAAGGATTATTTTGTTGTAGTCCTTGTCTGTTGTCTGTAAAAATCTATAAGGGCAATTCATTGCCATTTGTGTGAATGTTTCACAAATTTTTTGCGATTAAACGGAGCGAAAGGGAGGAAGGCTGAAAATAGAACAGTGACCTCAACACTCAGGGGAGTGTGGAGAATAGTAGCCAGTTCATAGCTTAAAATCGAAGGAAAACTAAGGACATAGTAAAATACTTGAAAAAAAATTTAAATTACTATTAGAAAGAATTATATATCATAAAAAATTTAATAAATCTTAACTTGATGACTTAGCATATATTGATTGAGCGATTAAGTCTTGCGTTCTTTAAAAAAAGCCTTTTCTTCTTGTTTATTAAGATTTGTTTAATGTGCCGTAAAAGTCCAAAAAATGAACTATTATTAACCCTGGTTTCGAAACGAAGTTAGGCGTGAGAAAAAGCGCTTTTTGCTCTCTGTAAACGGTGACTCGTCGAATTGAAGGGAAAATTAGATTCCCCAATATTTCCATCCCATCGAACATTTTTGTCAACAGGGTTTTTACGGTTCAATGGCGTCTTTATCATCGCACAATTGTCTTGGTAATTCCGCTTTTTTAAAAATCATTTTCTTCAGGTAACTTTAACACCGATGTTGCTCCCAGCCTCGGAGATTGTGACGAAATTAAGACGAACCACTTTCCACGTTTCGTGGATGTTCGAATGCTCACTTATGACGTGATGAACTTTTCATATGAAGAGATGTTTTACGTAGACAAAGTCACAACCTAAGTAGAATTGGAAGGTTAAATGAAAAGTAGCCGCGCGGAAAACAATTTTGCCGAATTATAAGATTCCTTTTCCATTTGAGCACAATTTGATACTTAATGTTTAACATTGATTGTCAGAGAGGTCGTTCGCGACCAAAATTTGATAGATTTGTTAAATCTATCTATCTATCTTCTCGTTAATTGTAAGAGAGAACGTTCGCGACCTAAATTTACGAAATTAGTTAAATAAAACGATATTAATTAATTCTCTCTCTCACTCTCTCTCCTCTCCTCTCTCTCTCACTCTCTCTCTCACTCTCTCTCTCTCTCTCTCTCTCTCTCTCTCTCTCTCTCTCTCTTCATCCATCTTTAATACATCTATCTCTCGCCGTTAAAAATCGTTTTGTTTTATTTACAGTCGTTGGATGCAAGGCTGGCCAAAGTCGGTGACTATAAATAAAACATTAATCAATCAATTCAGCCTGTCTGTCACTCTCTCTTTCTCTCTTTCTCCCCTCTCTCTCATTTTTATTTTCTTCTCTGTTTCTCTCTCTCTCTGTCACTCTCTCTCTCTCTCCCTCTCTTTCTCTTTCTCTCCCCACTCTCTCATTTTTATTTTCTTCGCTTTTTTCCTCGCTCTCCCTCTTTTTCCTCTCTCTCTCTCTCCCTCATTATTATTTCTCTCTCTCTCTCTCTCTCTCTCTCTCTCTCTCTCTCTCTGTTTCTCTCTCTCTTTCCCTCTCTCGCTCTCTCTCTCCCTCTCTTTCTTTCCCTCTCTTCCTCTCTCTCTCCCTACTCTCTCATTTTTATTTTCTTCGCTTTTTTCCTCGCTCTCCCTCTCTTTCCTCTCTCTCTCCCCCTCATTATTATTTTCTTCTCTGTTTCTCTCTCTCTTTCCTTCTCTCGCTCTCTCTCTCTCTCTCACTTTATCTCTCTCTCTCCCTCTCTCTCTTTCCCTCTCTTTCTCTCTCTCTCCCTACTCTCTTATTTTTATTTTCTTCGCTTTTTCCTCGCTCTCCCTCTCTTTCCTCTCTCTCTCTCCCTCATTATTATTTTCTTCTCTCTTTCCCTCTCTCTTTCCCTCTCTCGCTCTCTCTCTCACTTTATCTCTCTCTCTCTCTCTCTCTGTTTTTCTCTCTCCCTATCTCCCTCTCTTTCTCTCCCTGTTTCTCTATCTCTTTTCACTTTTGCTTTTCTGTCTTTGTTTTTCTCTCTTTCTCTCTTTCTCTCACTCTTTTATCTTTTTTCTTTCTTTTCTCTCTCTTTTGAAAGACTTTTCGATATTTGAAATTTTTTTCGAGTGCACATCTCTCCTCCCTTCTAAAAATAGCACTGCCGTTGTGACGTGATCGGTTTTCACCAATGGATTTTTACACAAATTTCCCGTCAAATTTAAAAATTTTTTCACGTGGATTCAATTAAGCTCAGTTGGATGAGGCAGTTTGCGGTTTGTACCTTATAGAATGGGTAATACAATGTGAGCCTGCAGTTTTTTAAGATGTTAATAGAAATAGATCTACGAGGGCGTGACCCCACCGTCAATATCGCCTATAAATAAACTATTTAATAATGTTAAAATATATAGATAAAAGGATGTTTATATTGATCTAAATGAACAGGAAGTAATAAATAAAGATTTTTATTCGTTACCACCGTGCCATTTTATGCCATTTTTCTTCAATTTCATTCTTCATTCAAATGTTTTGAATCAAGGTGTCATAAGCAGACTGACTGGGCAAATTGAAAAATTACTTCCTTCAGTCTCTCTGCTCGTACACTGAAATTTTATAACAACAATTAACTAACTCGAACTTTTTCTTTAATGTAGATACTTTGTTTTATTGATTATTTTGTTTTGTAATCTCTGAGTTGACAACTGACCTGTAATAGTGTTATTTTGTAACTATGAACTCTGCCATTTTTGGGTGTTTTTTTCTTGAGCTTTTATCGAGAGTGCAGTGGGTTCAAGTCGTATAAATAGAGCTGACTCACAGTGTTGAAACTTACGAGCGATTTGTATCCCCTTGAAAGGAGGAGTCAAATAAAAGATGCGGGATGTCTTGATTTTGGCACAGGGCACAATTATCTCAGAACGTCGACAATCTAATCCTCAACCTCCGCACTGGAAACTCAAAATATCCTGAAGAATTTGACATTTCTTTCCGACCGCCGGGGATGAACTAGACTCAGTTAAACTAGACAAGAAATTTTTACCTAGGGGGGGCCCCCACTTCCCCAGCTGCTGGACGTAAATAACTTCCTTGTTTTTTCTTTTAAACCTAATTGATCTTACAAAATGTAATTTACGGTTGAAATGAAATCCATTCGATGGTTTTTTTGTTTTTTAAATTTTCGATTCTGCAGTCTATGCCATCCATGTGGACAAAATGCGATTTTAACTAAAATTAAAAATTTAAAACCTCTGGAAGAACACAGTAATCTGATTTTTAATTACACAACATTAAAACTGAATATATACATATACAATTTGGCCAAATAAATTACATTTATACATCACATGTATATTTATACATCATCACATCGGTAGAGAAATTGTATGGCAATCCTGAGGTCATCTTCTACCAGATTTTTTGAAATAACTTAATTTATTACAAATTTAATAATTTAATGTATTAATTAATACATACATGGTTTTAGTAAATTGTAACCACAACAAGTGGGAGTTTGTTAATTAGTTGTGCGTTGGTATATTGCCCATCATGTGATATCATTGCAACTACCTCACTTGTAAAACTGAGTACAGTTTCGTAAGCTAAACGATCGTGCATTCAACAATAACTGTATAAAGTTTTGATTGATTATAAAATGTATTTAATCACTATTAAATCAGGAGAAAGTCAAACAATTATATGGGATACGTATCCCTTACATGAGTAACCTTGAACAATTTAGTTTTGTTGGCAGTCTTTTCGCATGAATTTCTTTCTCCTCAATACAAAACTTAACATAAAGTTTTCAGTCTGCACTGTGCAACTTTCGGTGTTTCCGAAGGGTCTAAAAAAACACTATTTTGACGAATTATAAGATTCCTTTTCACTTGAGCACAATTTGATACCTACTGTTTAACATTAATTGATTGCAAATTGAGAGGTCGTTCGCGATCTAAATTTGATAGATTTGTTAAATAAATCGACATTCATTCATTCTCTCTCTCTCTCTCTCTCTCTCTATACAGGGTGAATTGCTACTCGTGCTACAAACTTCTCCAGTAGATTTTTCACCCTAAAATGAACAAAAAAGTTCATATTGTCCATGGTCCGATTCTCAACCATTTCAGAGTAATTTCGCTTTTTATCGATTTTGAAAGATATCACGTCCTGGCGTCGGAAAATCGTGATATCTTTTAATCTAAACATTTCTCTGAAAATCTAATAGCACCGTTGAAATTCCCGTTAATTTTTCAATAAGAAGATGACGGTGGCAAAATGTTTGGGCTAATTTTTTGTGTTTTATTTCAGCCAGAACTACAAAAAGAGTGGAAAATTGTGTAAATCGGAAAGTGTATAAAGTAATCCAGAGTTTCTAATTTTAGTCTCAGAAGGCAGCAAATTTGAGGAAAACTACCTGATTTAATAACGCTTCCAACGCACTCGTCATTTTCTTATTTAGTGGTTGTGAGACCAAGATGTTGATGACAAAAAGAGAAAAAATGGTGGTTCAAGGATTGCTAATGTTTGAGAGTGACTTGCTACTCGTGCTACAAACTTCACCAGTAGATTCTTGACCCTAAAATGAACAAAAAAGTTCATATTGACCATGGTCCGATTCTCAACCATTTCAGAGTAATTTCGCTTTTTATCGATTTTGAAAGATATCACGTCCTGGCGTCGGAAAATCGTGATATCTTTTAATCTAAACATTTCTCTTAAAATCTATAAGCACCGTTGAAATCCCCGTTAATTTTTCAATAAGAAGATGAAGGTGGCAAAACGTTTGGGTCTTTCTTCCTTGACCTTCTAGCTGTTTGTAAACTTCTTAAGCATTACATACTAAATGGGCATTAAATTAAATTAAAAAATTTCAATGGAATTATGATTTTGATTCTCTCTAAAAATTAACGGGGATTTCAACGGTGCTTATAGATTTTAAGAGAAATGTTTAGATTAAAAGATATCACGATTTTCCGACGCCAGGACGTGATATCTTTCAAAATCGATAAAAAGCGAAATTACTCTGAAATGGTTGAGAATCGGACCATGGTCAATATGAACTTTTTTGTTTGAACGATAAAAACTGTCTCTTCTAAAATTTACATAGCTATTCGGTGACGTTTTTTGATATTTGGCTTCGAAATTCAGGTAGGTTGAAACCTCCTTCGACCTCCAACATGTCCAATACTTACAATCCAATATCCCCCTAACCATTGTCAATTATAAGTATCCAATCTTGCCATTTACAACGATCTTAGTATCAAAAGTGTCCTTGAAGTAGCCAAAAATAGCTACAAGAAGTTTCAAAAATCCTTATTAGAAACCATTCATTCTATTACACTCTTCCACGTAATTGTCATCGACTTTTAGAGCGACACTGGTTGTGAAAGTGATTAACATGACTATTTACATATAATTACAAACTGATATTAGATTTATTAAGTGAGCCTGGAAATAGTTGTAAAAATTCTTATTTTTATTTAAAGGCGGGATATTTAAAGGTACAATAATAAGGTGGCTTTTAAGCTTATATGATTAATATGAACTCAACCTTTTATATTATTAGCCTTCACCCAAAAGCAAAGCATAAATGACATAACGTTACAATTATTTTATGGAAAAATACATTTTAAAAAATATGGACATCTCATTAGGTTTTTTAGGATTATCCTTTCCTCGCGTACACCGTTATTAACTTCCAAATTAACTCATTTTCCATTGGAAAGATGTACAAAATTAAAAGTTTACCGTTGGTAACTTCCAAGAGACGCCTCTCCGTTGCAAAGTTAGGCTTAGTCGAGTAATCCGTAACGAAATAAAAGTCCATCTACTGTTAATAATTTGTTTCAATGTTAAAATTTCCATTCCAAGTACGGCGCAAATTAAGTGGAGAACTGCTTGGGAAATCGTTAAAAAATGTCCCGATTTAATTAGCTCCACCATATTTAGAAACCTCCCATAAAAGGCCATAGTTTTCTTAACCTCAATATATTATGGCATCCTACTCACTTTCCTCTATTATGTGTATATTCCGTCATTTTTCTCATTCTTTACACAGCTCATAAGCCTCCTAACCGCATATCTTTATAGACTCACTAGCCTTCTTCCTTTAATGTCCAACGTCTTTGAAAGACTCCTTTTAAAGTGCTACCCATCCTTCTCATATGGAAAAATTCTTTCTCACCTATTCTCCTTTTGTCGTTATCTTTCCACAATTCAACAAAGTTTTAGAATTGTCGACATGGCCTATGGTCTAGAGAATTTAGTATGGTAGTATAAAATTTAGTCTGCTGTCTAGATATAGTCCTAAGTATTTGAATGGAAGTTGTAACTTTAAGATTTACAGTGGAGGGCAAGATTGTTTTTTTCAATTTGGACGCTGAGTCCAATTTTTGCACCAGTCAAACTCAAGGTGTTCTTGGACGTTGGAGGTAGCTTGGATAGGATTCCAGTTAGAGGTAAAAATTGCAGTATCTTTCGTATAGGAGGTGATGAAGGTATTAGGGTGTACAGGTAGTAGGTCAGAATTATAAGTTGTATAACAGATGGAAACAAGATTGCTTCCTTGTGGGACGCCGATATCTGTCTTACTTCCGAAAATTCCTTGCCACACCTCACTCAGAAGCGGTTGGTTGGATAGGATTTCTGGATAAGGTGGCAAGAAGTGGTTAGGAAGCGTTTACATAAAAAGTATGCCCGTGTGCCAGACCCTATCAAAAGCATCTAGTAACGTACGCACGCAATATTACATTCTTTAGACCGTAGGAAGTCGATACTTCTGGAAAAACTGCCGAGTCTGCACATTCCGTCAAGGCTTGAGCTTTGTATCTGTTTGGATGTAATGTTTATTAGTTAATTATGTCGAAGGGCATCTTTGTTGTTAATTAAAAAATGGTCCATCAAAACTCAATCATAAAGGAAAATATCGCACGGAGAACATAAACAAGAACCAAACGAAATTATTCGTTGTGTTTTTTCGACTTTATAAAAGTAAATTGAAAAATCGCAATTGATTACGTTGAGAAATTAATCATTAATAAAATTAAGCACATTATGGTAAATTTTGAAAATAACTAGCTGAAAAATCTGTCCGAAAGGATGGTATATTTGGTGGTTCGTTCTACGTTAATCTAAAAAAGTCAGTGTCACCAGCGGGATTCGAACCCACGATCTTCGGCTAAATACGCCGCCGCTCTACCACTTGAGCTATCGTGACCTCGATCCACTCGGACACCACTTCCCTTTTCAACCCCACCTTTTGAACTTTCCCTCCTTTTTTGCCATTTTTCAAATGCCGCGTAATCTATTTGATGCTCGGCGACAAATGAAATGGCCACGGAGAGCTACTGTGAAGATATACTTCAGTTTAATTGTTAAATCCATTTCAGTTCGTGGTCCGATTGACCAATTTACATTTTTCAATTAATTATTATTTATGAAAGGTATTGGTCGAGATATAAAAGTCAGTGTCGCGAGCGGGATTCGAACCCATGTTCTTGGGCTAAATAGGCCTCTGCTCGACCACTTGGGAGATGGTCCTCGAACTGCTTGGGGGTAGCTAACGCTGATTCGACGAGCGCGATCAGATCTTACTTGCTGTGGTCGTGGTGGTGGAGGAGTACTAGACTTGTGTCTTGATTCGGAAGAATTCTGTCCTCTTAGCCGTTTAAATTTTTGTGTGTGATGCACCCTCTGTAGTTGGCTGGATGATCGCCATGAGCAAACAGCTGGAGTTTCTTTTGATTTAGTACAATTTTTTCTCCAATGATACCCTGCGCATTTCACACACCGTGGTGCATGGTTGCAATATGATCTGGTGTGTCCGTAATTTTAGCAGCGCTTACATTACGAAATTTTCTTATTTTTGAACGGTTCTTCTACGCGTATACGACAACCGTAGATATGGGTAATCATAAATATATCCTGATAATTTGGTGAAAGTTCGAGGTCCAAAAAGAAAAGCGGCAGTTTGATATTTGCTGCAAATTGGATATTGGTTACATTTCGGACTTTGAAACCAACTTCTTCTACTTCTTTTTCTATTTCATCTGGCGAGGTGG